ATTGTGAAATATATTTATAGTATATTATATATACACACAGCATATTTTATTACATAGTATTTATACTGATACATTTTTTCTGTATAATACCTTTAAAAACAACCTTTATAAATAAATTTGCACCTGGGGCCTCTTTCCTTAAATACTGTGGTGGCTCCCACTGACAGTATTGCTCTGAGATCCCAGAGGTGTCAGCTCAGACCAGATCACAGACAGAGTGTAATTAAAATAGGAATAGCGATTGTTGTGTCTGAGTCAAGCTGATCTTTTTACTGCAAATAATAGCCACTGAATGCTTGATGGTTTTGTCAGTGCAGCCACATTTAAGGAGCTCAGCACATTAACATTTTGCTGTGCGTCATAATTAAACAGAAGGGCAACTAATTAAGAAGTAAAGTCACAGGCAAATTACATCAGATCACCTCTTCAAAGTGAGAAACCATGCATTTCTATAGCTCTGAATGAGACAGGCATTTTCTGCCCTGAGTAGAACTAGACTGCTGTTTTGTTGTTGTTGTTCTTTTTTGTTTTTTTATATAATTTTCACTCATGAATATTGAAACTGTGTGGCAAACTGCTACACTGGTCAGTTAATTCTGCTCAAGGACACTCTGTGCTCAGGTCACAGGGTTCAGACCAGGAATCATCTGCTTCATAGGACAGTCGTTCCAATCACTGGGCCAGCCTCAGGCTTTATTTACACCAACACACTCACCTCTATTTTGTGTCATGGTGGCTTCAGAAATTCCATGAATACATGTTCTTTCTAAATGTATCTTTCTGTAATAAGGAATACCTTATAAAGCATTAAGCATATTATTTATTAAGATCAGTGAGCCGTTACTTACCCATTTTAAACAACAACTATGGTTTATTACAAAGTAGTGCCCAAAAAAATGAATAGTCCATACGAGTGGTGTGTGCTGGTGGTACTGGCTTCTACAACCATTTTACACCTCTGTCCCCGTGTGAAAGCAGCCTAAAAATCAAGGTCATGTGAGAAGACTCACTATTAATATACTGTGCAGGGCCTAATGTGTACATACTGCAGAATGAGCACTCTTTGAGTTCCCAAGGAAAGACTCATAAAGTTGGGTCTTATATATGTTGCAGAGAAGCAGACATTAGTAATCCTGCCAGCACACTTTTAAACTGGGTCAGTACCAAACACATTTGGGTGTGTTACCAGCATCTTGTACTTGTACTTCTTTACTAAACCAAACTGTGTACAAAACACAGTGGGAACACATAGCTTGCTCTGTGAGCTGAAGTACTTCAAACAACCCTTGGGAAGTGGAAGAAAAACATATAAGGGAGAGGAAAGGAGAGAGAGTTGTGTTTTGACAGACCTGTCACAGTGGTTGCACTTAAAAGGCTTTGCGCCAGTGTGTTTGCGGTAGTGCCTTGTCAGCTCATCGCTCCGGGCGAATCGCCATTCGCAACCCTCCCATGAGCACTTGTACGGCTTCTCACCTGGGGCATGAAAAAAAAGCACACATAAGCACATGTTTCATCACTCACCCACCAATCACACACTTATTTGTGGTCATGCAAAAAACCCTGTGTGGTACTAGTGTGGAATCATGAATCCAAATATTAGCTGCTTTCGTGCTGATGTTTGAGATACAGGATGTATGGTCTACGTGCAGAGACTTTATTTAAAAGATTCTCTGCTGTATATTGATTACATTGCAGTTTGCACTTTGTTTAGTTTCACAGCCCCCATTTTGCTTTTTTTCTTTTTAAGGCTTGGAAAAAGAGCAAGGCAATGTTTAAACTGAGATGGAGAAGCTCCCACTGGTCTCCAATTTTGCTGAACATGTAGAAAAGGAGTAGAGAGTAGAGAGAAGTGAAGAGGATGAGGGTGGAAGGGGGGATCAGAGGCAAGGTAGATGAGAGAGTGAGAAGAGGAGGTGAGATGAGGCCAAGAAAGGGAAAAGTGGAGTAGGAGAGAAGTGGATTAAGGCAGAGGAGGCTGCCGATATGCCAGCAGGAGAGGGGTTAGTGATAATTAGGCCAGTCACCATGACATAATGGCAAGGAAACCACAATCTGCCAGCTGCGTCCAGTGCCGAAGATGTCACCTGCATCAGTCACATCCCATCTGGACTGGTGGCTTGTGACTGAATACAGACACACTGACCAGCTCTGCTTCAGTGGCTTTGACACAAAAACCGGCTTAATTCACTGAATGTGATTATCAAAAGGGACACAATCAATGGATCAACTACTTTGTGAAAACAGTTAAGAAACCAAGAAAGGTATTTGTATAAAGGGAACAGTTGTTTGGTGTAATTATCTACATTGACTGTTGTAGAAATCTGCTTTTTGCGTGCAGATGCAGTATGTTCAAGCTACAAATCAAAAATGTGTGCAGTATTTCTGTGTTCCAATTAAAAGTACATCTCTGTTTTATCAGGGTGTTAAATGCCACTAATACAAACTACAAAGTTGTAGTAAAATGCAGCTGAATGGCACGAGCCAAATGAGAAAACAACAAAACTCTGTCAACATATGACCTGCTCAAGCACGTTCCATCAAATGTACTCAGCAAGCAGCCATGTTACAGAGCAAGAAAAGAATGACTTGCAGGTAGAAAATGTCAAGAACACTAAAGAATATGAATTGATAACAAACTAATTTGAACTTTTTTCTGCCTTTTACATGCATCATCACTTACATTGACTTGATTCTGAAAAACTCTACTTTGGTATTTGACATTAATTATTTCTGAATAAAATATTACTTATGTTCACTAAACAATTTTCTGCTTAGAAAAAGTTGTAGAGATACCCAGAAATTAGGTTCATCCCCTTACATCCATCCATGCATGTCCCCATTGTGAACATGTACAGTATCCCTTCATACTGCCTCACTTTCCAGAGCAGCAGGTCTGGGCCATCCGGCTCTGGCCAATGAAATTCCCGGGAGGCAAGGATGCCTGAATGTGTAGCCTAGCAACGAGAGTGAGGGGGTGGGGTGTATGCATGTGTGTGTGAGAAGGGGGGTGCGCTGAAACATGAGGAGGCAGTAGTCAGTGCAGCTGGCTGGATCTGGCAAAGGCACGGCGCTATGCCACTGGCCAATTACCAAGCATGCTGGCAGAGGACGGAGGCAGTTGCCTAGCGACGATAACCGTAGAGCTGTACAGGGCCACAGGCGGGGGCAGGGGGGGGGGGGCCGGAGGC